TGATCATTCAGTTGTATGGGGTGCTTTTCGTCTGGGTCATGAGTCGGTGCCGAAGTGGATTTGGCCTCAGCCTCAGACCATAGACTGGAGCAAGGTGCAGGTAGATGCATGGCAACGGCAGTTTGCGAAGCCCATCACGCTGCCCTCCGAGAGCTTGACAGGGAATCAGTGGTTCGAACAATGGGCTGATGCCTATGAAAGAAGCCTGGAGGGCTTTGTTGACCTTCCTGGAGGCGGCCTTCCTCCTGGTGCCAAGGGGAGAGGAAAGGTGAAGTGCCCAGTTCAACAGCAGGCTCAATTGCCGATGTGTAGACCTGCACGGGATGGAGATCTTCGTCTGGTGTCCGATTTTGCCTGCAGAGGAGTTCAGCTGTGGTACAGACAGGCACGTCGGCTACAAGCATTGACACAGAGCCTTCAGAGAGGCACCATGACAGCTTCCGCTCAGGCCCATCGCGTTGAAACTTGGGCAGCCATTGAAAGAGCAGCAGGATTCAAGGGTGGCTTCAGAAACTGGTGGCGTACCCGTCCGGTTCAACATCAGGGGCTCCCAGTTGACCTCCCCGTTGGGGTGCCGGCCTTGAAGGTGGCACAACAGTTGCTGGTTGACTTCACAAGCAACTTTCGGAAGCTGGAAAGTTGGCAGCTTAGACGCCAGCAAGAAATCTCCAAGGCTCAGCTCATTGCTCATAGAGAGCGCATCTTCAAAAGAGTACGTCTTCACGAAAAAGAATATCTGGACACTCTGCAACACACAGAGGAGACGGAGATTCTAGCAGTCGCAGAGGATGGAAGTGAAATTCAGCTGGAGCATGAGATTGGGCGGGGTCCGTGTGACAGTCAACTCTGGTTGGTTGATTCCATGACGGCTATACAGCTTGAGAGAAAGGAGGCTGATGTCTACAGAGTGATTGATGCAGATTGTTTGTTGGTGGCGGGCCAGTCTACTGTCAGTGAAAGCGACTGGGGTCGTATCTTGGCCTTTGGTCGTGCCTTTCTACCCCGAAGTCGCCTTGAGTACAAACCTCTGGATGTACATGGATGGCATGACATCAACACCAGATACACGGACAGGGCTGCCAGAGGCCCCGATGGGTTTCATGGGAGAGATCTGCAGGTAGCTCCTAAGGGGCTCCAGATGCCTTTGCTGGAACTACTGACAGCCATTGAGGAGCAACAGATTGATTGGCCTGATCAGTTGTTGGCAGGATTTGTTGCATGTCTCGCCAAAACAGCCACAGCAGCTGAAGCCGCACATTACCGTCCGATCATCATTTTCTCAACCATTTATCGAAGCTGGTCGACGGCAAGAGCGCGCCCATTGCTGGCACATCTAGCGACGTTGGCGACAGACACGCAGCTAGGCTTTCTGCCGGGCAAGGAGGCACTGCAAATTTCATTCATGATTCAAGGCCTGGTGGAGCTATGTGTCTCAGCTGGATCAGCCCTGCAGGGACTAGTCACGGACATTCAAAAGGCCTTTGAGAACATTCCTCGTCTTCCCATGATGCGTCCAAAATGGAACGCAGATTCCATGTGCGAGGGGAGATTGGTCCACCACATTTGAGCACCTGCGGAGTCCCAGAAGGTTGCGCGTTGAGCTGCTATGCAATGGGCATTGTTGACCTTAGTTTCCACTTCTACTTTCGTCATTTTGCACCTTCCACAATACCTCTCTCATTTGTCGACAATTTGGGCATTCTGAGTGAAAGCGTGGCTCATCTGCAACATGGTCATATTGTGCTGCAAGAGTTTCTCTCATTATGGAAGCTGGATATGGATGTTCGCAAGTCCTGGACGTGGAGCACTCAGCCGGTTGACAAGGATGCCCTCCAGCTCATGGGCCTTGAGGTCCGCACCAGTGCAGGTGATTTGGGAGCCCAACACAGTTACTCTGCACAGAGGAGGATTGCAGTACAGAAAGCGAGAATTGCTTCTCTTGACCCACTGTGGATCAGGCTGCGCAAACTAGGAGCTGATGACAGACTCAAACAAATGGTTCTTCAGCAAGCTTTTTGGCCCAGAGCTCTGCATGGGATCTCAGTCTGCTTACTGGGGCCTTCGCACATCTAGGCATTGAGAACAGCTGCAGTTCGGGCACTTCGGCACGGAGCCGCAGGTGCATCGCCCTTGGTCAGGCTCTCTTTGCTTGCACCTATGAAGACGGACCCTGGCTTCTATCAGGTGACTCGGGTGCTGATTGATTTTAGGCGAATGGCCTTGAAACAAGCAGTAGTGGTAGATCTTTGGTGCCAGCATCACAATGGGTTTGATGGCACCTTGAGAGCAGGGCCCTTTTCAAAACTGCTGGAAATCTTTGAGCCGTTAGGCTGGAGGGTTGTCTCGCCGCCATTGGTTTGCACACACCTGGGCACAGAAATTGACCTTCTTGAGATCCCAGAACCACAACTGATGGTTTTGCTGGAAGATGCTTGGACTGACTGGATTTCCACAGAACTCCAAAGCCGCTCGGACTTTAGTGGACTCAACAAGATTAACCTAGCAGTTCTTCGGAGAGCACACAAGCAAGTTCATGGATTGCAATTTGCGCAAGTAGCTGCACTTCAGGAAGGAGCTTTTTGCACTGGGGCCCAGCAGGCCAAATTCGACAACATGAAGACACCCAACTGTCCTTACTGCCAGGTGCCTGATGACCTTGACCACAGATGCATGGAGTGCAGGATGTTGACTGAGGTGCACCAGCGACATGAAAGCATTCGTTCGCAATGGGGCCACCTCACAAAAGCGCAACGGCACCGGCTGATGCCGGAAAAGTTTCCCAAATGGGAGGCTTATCAGCAGGCGCTGGGACCTCTCGCATGCCCGCACTTTGACTATGAGGTGGTCGAGACGACCTCAGAATGGGTGGACTTGTTTGTAGATGGATCATGTCTGCTGCCGGATCTTCCTGAATGTTCATTGTCTTCTTGGGCATTGGTTTCAGCAACTCATGAGCGCACCCTTAGTTCTGGTATTGTGCCGGGCTTTCACCATTCAAGTGATAGGGCCGAGCTGGTAGCAATGCTAAGTGCTTTGACCTGGGCAGTGGAATGGGGAGGTGCAGTGGCATGCTGGACCGACAGTGCATATACAGCGACGGGGGTTTGGCGGCTCTTGGACCATATCCATGATCCCCCTTTTGACTCAAACACTGACCTGTGGATACATTGTGCTGAATTGCTGTCGCAGTTGAAAGGCACGTTCAGGTGTCATCACATCCCAGGGCATGTGCAAGAAGACTCGTGTGAGAACCCAGTGCAGGGCTGGCTGGCCCACTGGAACCATCTGGCTGATCGTGCTGCATGGGCGGCTCACTCCATGTATAGCTGGTCTGTCCGAGCACTTTGGGAGCAGCTGGTGGCGCATCAACGCAGTGAGCTGAAAAAATTGATTGCTTTGCAACAGCTTCATGCAGAAGTTGCTTCGGCTTGGCATGAGTTGAAGAATAAGCATGAGGCCTTGACACGAGAAATGGAGGCGCAGGAAGAACTGGCTCCGGTCACTCTGCAGACTGTCGAACTTGAGAGTGACATCTTTTTAGATTCTTTTCCCAACAATTGGCTGATGATTGTACAGACTACTGATTTGGCCACAAATTTTGGATCATTTGGCTTTCAGCTCATGCAACACCTATTGGACGAAGGTGCTGGACAGGCCACGCAATGTATAGTTAGCTGGCTTGAGCTTTCTTTTTGGTGCCACCGCTGGTTTGCTGGGGTCTTCCCGGCACCGGGGGCTAGGAAAGGCCAGTGGATGCCCGCGACGTCTAGTGGTGGCTGTTTTAGGTCGGCTCAGACTTTAGCTGCTGTTGTTCGGTTGGTTCGTTCCTGTGTGAGGGCCTATTCGGTTTATTTTGGTTTCGAAACTTTGGACGTTCGTGGCATCAACCTTGGCCGACTTGGCGTTGGACCTCCGCAAGGGGGACTTGCCTTACGTTGCTCGGACCAGGTGCGACTGAGGGGTTTGGAGGACTTGAGGTGGTTTTGTTTGAGTAGGCCCATTAGGACTTGTAACGACTTGGTCCGACCACTTAGTGTTCGCGACTACCCTAACATGGGGTAGACCGACTGTGCCCCACAGAGGGCAGGACAGGAGTGCGGACGGCCTTCCGCCGGCGCGCCGGCCGTGGGCGCGCACGTCGCCAAGTGAGAGTGTGGGCAGAAACATATCCATCGCTGGGTTTTCAACAACAACACCCCACCCACCCAGCAATGGGTTTTTCGTGGAGGGTCTTCTCTAGTCTCACCGGAAGCCGCCGACCGACCCGACGTCTCCGGTGCACCGAAGTCGACCGTTCCGCTTTTTCTACACGGACAGCCAGCCATCACGAGGATTGGTTGGGTGAAAAGGAACACAGCCATTGGGCCAACCAAGGAGTGTTGTGTTTTTTCTATTTTTTTAAACTGGACTTGTCATGGAGAAAGACTTTCTGAGGATCAGTTTCTTCATTTACAGGAACGAAGCAATCCTATCTTATGAAACAACTACATCAGCTACATCAGCTTCCTTCCTACATCGGATATGAGAGAACTACAATTTCACGAATTTCAATTCCGTTTGAGATCTATGAAGCAACTACATCAACTCCTCTCGACCAGCACTTTTGAGACCTATCCAGATCTCCCAGCAACATGCGGATGCAGAAGTTTACCATCATCAACTCCAACTTAAGGGTTCCGGCCGTCTGGCTGTGAATCGTTGTTCCTCCCCCACGAAACCAAAGGAGGTGGACTTGTCCCTTTTTTAAAGCGGGGTCAACCAGGGTGCCCGGGTGCCAACAACCCACCGACCCATTTACGTGGTCTCAAGCGACCGAGCGACCTCATCCGCGCGCGGAACCGCGCGGGGCACCGGAACGGCAGACAGACCATCGAGGGCGAGTCCGACGGAGTCCGCCAGACCAATCGATTGAACCCACGTCGACGTCTCGTAGCACTCAGAAGCTACACCGACTGCGACCCCACCGAGACCGACAGCGCCGCTGCGCCGCTGCGCCCAAGGCTCCAAGTACGAGGGCGAATATCAGAATGACTTCCGCCATGGCCAAGGGACCCTCACTTGGCCCGACGGCTGCTCGTCATCTATACCACGAGCACGTGGTGCTGGCGGTGGAATTGTTTCATGTTTGTCGCTAAGACATTGGACATCTACAAGTCACAGGTGGTGGAGGAAGAGTTTTTATAATTCCTTTTGCACTCATTGTATAGTGAACATGATGAACAACACCAGGCTTTCTTTTTGTTGGGTCACAACCTCCGCAGATTCAATTTCCTCATTTGATCAAATGGCCCCCGGTGCCAAAATTGGTTAGCCGTGCAGTCAGACACGAGTCTGACCCTCCAGGCCAACAGTTGGTCACATGATGTCACATGGCTTGTGGGACACGTGTTTTTGCACGTGAGAAGTGAGAATCACTGAATCCCAAAGACTCCATGGGACTGCCATAGGACTGCCGAGAAACGGCCAGGGGTGGTGGTTGTTTGGGGGGTCAATGGGGCGGCAGTCCTATGGCAGTCCCATGGAGTGTCTGGGAGTCGACGGTTCTCTTTGGCCCGACCGAAGCCACGGACCGTACCTTTGGAGGTCACCTCGTCTGACAAGGCGAAGCTCGCATCGGTTCACTCCCCAAATCGCTTCAACGAGAGACCAGACTTTCGTGACCTTTTGAGGGGTCAGGAACAGCCAGCTCCAATGGCCAGCACCCCAATGGCCAGCCTCCAAGAAACGAAGGGTGTTGGCACCTGGAGAAGCTTCATGGTTCTTCCGTTGTCCTGTCCCAAAGCGACCCGGGTGGTCCACCAAGCAGCGCAACATCTCCACTTCTCCGTCCTCACTTGTTTCTCCGGAAGACCGTGAACCAGCACAACAACCAAGAAGACCGTGAAACCACTTCCGCCCAGAGACGACGCGTCCCTTGGTTCTTAGGCCGAAAGTACAAGGGGCAATGGAACAACGGCAAGCAGGCGCCGACCCGACCCGCGATCCGACCCGACGGAGTTCCGCCACATCGCGGGTTCCACCGGGACAGGTTCTTCTTGGGACGTGGCCAATAGTTAGAGATTCAAGAGCTCTTGAGCTCTGGACTCTGAACAAATTCTCAGTGAAGGGCATGAGACTTAGTGACTTAGTGACTTGAAGACTAAATTACGCAGTGGTATGAGCATCGTGAAGGGCATGGCCTGCGGGCATAGCTAGAGCAGCTAGATGCTAGATGGCCGCAGCACAGTTCAACGGCTTAGCGACCTGGTGGGACAAGTCTGGGATACGAAGAATTCCAAGGGTTTCGAACATGGATATGAAGACTTCGATGGGTTTTTTTCACGACCAGTTCCTGCTAACATCGATGGGCCAGCCCAACTTCTTCGGAGGCCACATTGGACGACTGAGGCCTTTCTTTTCGACTTTTGATGTACCAGGAGTTCAGATCAATCCCAAAGACTCCATGTATAGCATATATGCCGATCAGGCCAGGGGTGGCTGGGAATTCCAAATGACCTCGCTCGGTCGGGATGGCTCCATCGGATCGAAGAGAACGAGGGCGGAGCGGCGGAGCGGCGGAGCGCGGCGAGCGAGCCGCCAGGATGGAGAGGGCGTGATGATCGACAGCCTTGGCCGGGGACCCCAGCGGGTGCTGGTGCTTTTGACCCAAAAACACGAGTCTAAGAAGCACATGTGGGCTTGTCTTTTTTTAAGGTGTCCAGTTTATGTATGGCTGGGATGTTCGACTTAGGCGAAGCATACCCCGAAGCATACCCCCGAAGCATACCCCCGAAGCATACCCTGAAGCATACCCTCTGGAAATGCTACTACTTTAGTCTTTACACTGCGCGAAGCATACCCTGAAGCATACCCCCGAAGCATACCTCCGAAGCATACCCCATAGTCAAACATCCCGGCCCGGGAACTTTAAAAGACTACAAACCCATGTCATGTAGTCGCATATGTCAGTAGAAGAGACATGAAGAGACCTGCAAGATCCTTCAAGATGGTTAGAGTCGGTTAGAGGGAAGGGTACACGACCGAACACTCACATAGACCCTGACTGTCTGGCCGGACCCCTGGGTCCGAGTGTTTTCCTCTACCAACCAGGCACCCGCTGGGTCGTTCCAGCGACCCGGAAGGCGTCATCCGGGTCCAGCGAGGTGGGCGAGCCGTCATCCGCCTTGGTCGACGTCATCCGCGGAGGGTTTTTGAGGCCACCGTCCAATGAAGAACAAGACTAAGAACAAGATAGAAGCTCGGAAGACATGGTCAACCATGGAAATACCATGGAGACTCCCTCATCATAGACATGGTGCTAAACAATGAAGACCAAGGACGGTGGGCCAACTCTTCCCTCCATCCACACTCAGTGGATGGAACGAAAACGGCTCTGCATCACCGGTGATGCAGAACCCCCCCCCCTTTCCCCCTCTCTCTCTCTCTCCCACTCTCCCCTAGGTCCGAATCACACCCATTGGCTCCTAGAGGTTGGTTCCTTCATCCCACCCCTTTCCTTGGTCGTTCCCTTCTTTCACCTTCCCCTTCCCTTCGTTCGCCAAGGCAACGCGACCAAGAGCCGCTGGAAGAACGGCTCACCCCTGGAGGTGCCACCCGATGTTCACCCGGTACCGTCGGTCGGTCGGTGGTTGGTGTGGGAAATTCCAAGGGGCTCTAACACAACATAAAAGCTGGTTCCAAGAGATGGCCATGTTGAGATCCTTTAACATCATGAAGTGGCTTTTTAGTGAGTGGTGATCCATAACATCCGGAAGTGTTTCTGGGACTGGACCAGCCCTGGCTTTTCAGGAGGCGGCTGTGAACGGCACGGAAGTGAAGGATCACACCGTCCCCCGGAACCCGGAACCCCCCCGGCCGCGGCCGACCCGGACGCTCCAACGGCCGGGCCCGGAGAAGCCGAGCCGAGCACCGCGCTGGATGGTCGACCCCCCCACCGACGTCACCCGGCCGGCGGAAGGGCTGTGAGAATGCCAGGGGTTTCTCCTTGGAAAGCCCGACCCCACCCAGACGTATGGATGCTCTTGTGCCTTTAGCATGGGGAATTTCCATGCTCTTGGATGCTTTTGGTCTAAAAACCGCCCCTATGTTTTGGGCGGTGTTCCTGACAAAGGGAAACATAGACTCAGACCAGTCTTTGAAGGGGGGTTCGTGTGCTCCATTTCGCTTCACATCCAGACCTTTTGCAGGCTTCTTGTGGTCGAACATGTGTGTTTTCGGGAATGAATCTTTGGGGGATTCCCATCATTGACTGGTTTCAGAATCATCGGCAAATTTTCTATGAAATGGGAGGGGTCAAGCCCCACAAACCGTTTATAGATGGTCATTTGATGTTTCAGATATTGATGTTCACACCTGAGACACTTGGGATGATTGAACCCACTGACATCACACCTACTCCTTTGCACCCACCATACCATACCGGCGCCACCATCCGCTGAGACCCAAAACGCGTCTGACACGGGCCACCTTGGATCCAACCGCTTCTCGGTCGGATCTGGAAGCGCCATCCAAAGTGGTGAACACTCGCAACGAGCCGCGGCTGAGTACTATAAGACCCCCTGTTTTAGTCCATGGTTTTAGCTGGCGCAGAAGGAGCTGGGTGCAAGTGCTTTTCAGAGCACCAGACCATGAAGAGTCTTTCGGGCCATACCATAGCTCACTACCACTACTAGATAGTCCGACTGAACGTTGCTTCGATCTTTCCTTCTCCAGGTTCGAACTCCACCGGTTTCTTCACTCCACCGGACCCTCCCATCCCGTCGACCCTCTCGCGCCAGGAGTGAACTGAAGAATCACTCGGCTGCTCATCGCGCCTTGTGTGGGACGGGGAGGGCGTGCCTGGAAGCGCAAGTCAGAACGAAGCTGGGGAGAAGAACACATAGCAAATGAATTCCAAAAGGGTGGACAAACACATATTGTTTGGGCAGGTCGTGTAAGAAGGCAAAGCAGCGGAGACCGCGCGGTAGCGTAGCGGCTACGTCGATACGTGGACGTAGCTTACAGCAGGGGAAGCCTGTGGCACGAGGTGTTGAGAGAATTGGTCCTATTTTCGACCCTGAAGAGCTGAAGAGCTGTGGTGAGTCGCCTGGTGCTTCATGACATCTCACCCAGAGGCTCATTGGACCCTCATAGCTCATGTAGCAGTTTGAGGGTCCATGAGCCTCTGGGCAAGAGACATCTTGTGGTCTACTTGTGGTCTACTCAACTACCATGATCTTTCCTTTGGGCCGACCATGGCTCCATGTTTGGCGCGGTTTGGGGCGAGTTCTTTGGGCGGGGGCCAGGGAAGTTGGAAGGATGCGAAGAAACGAACTACTGGAAGAGAACGTTCACTTGACGGAAGCTGCCTATTCTCCGGGTTAAATCCGATGCGAACACAAAGGGTGATCTTCACGTCACAGACATGTCACACGGTTTTGCCACCAGTTCTCGAACTGGAGGGCTGAAAGTGGGCGGGTTTTGTCGCTTCAAAATCAGATGATAAAATCAATGGATTTTCTTCATGTTTTTTTTTTTTTTCCCAAGACTTTCCCCAGTGCATCTCCAAGTCTTCACAGAGTCATGGCGCAAGCCGAACCACGTGGTTCCACCCCACGGTGGTTCCACCCACCCCGCGGTTCCACCGACACTTCGCCCACTTCTGCCGACCAAAACCTTTCCCCGTCCCCGTCGGTGGTGTTAAGGATGGGCCTCGCCTGCTTGGCCGACGCGACGCGATCTTCGACGCTCCGCGACGCCGACGCCGACGCCCGTCGGGTCGGACGCCCCTTTTTCGGCATCTGAAGGATCAGCCGAGAGCGACGAAAACGCCTTTGACCGAGCATGGCAAGTAGGTAGGTCGGCCATCGCTACTAGTATCAAGATGTATCAAGTATAACAAGGTAATTGTAACTATAAACAATGACAATACCCTAGGGCTCCTGGCCCATATATCCTCAGAAGATGGTTAGGCTCCCCTGGCACCCACCCCAAGCACCTTCGAAACGGAGGTAGTTGGAGCCCTAGGGATATAATTTCAACCATTCTTCCCCAGCTTGCTTTGCGATCTTCCAGAGCAGATGAACCATGTGAAGAAACAAGGGCTGTATATATGTTTACATACACATGGTACCGCCCTCAATGCCCTTCCAAACACCCTTGACTTAATAGTCTTTACAAAGCCAGCATTGTTTTACTAAGGGCTTTAGGAAACGAAACGAGCTCAACTATTTTTAAAACTCGTTTTGGAAGGCTAGGGTATAGATACAAACTATATATAGGTATAAGAACATCCGTGCAACTTGGGTTGCTTTTGAGAAGCGGACTTTAGTGTGGCTGAGCTTCGGATGCTTCGAATGTCGGCGCCGGAGTGTCGCCGCGTGCCATGTTCTCAAGAACCCCACTGGGCACGTGCATTGGGCGGTATTAGTTCTTTGGTGAGCACAGCAGAAATCATTGTTGCCACGGTATAGAGACCTTCTCTCGAGGGTTCCAGGCTTTTGCTGTTCGTCTGCTCTAAGGATACTTGGCGTTGCTTCCCTGCGTATCCGGGATGTAGATGGTGTTGTGCTGGCCGCCAGCAAAGCAAAACTGGTTTGATTCCTCCTGAATTCATCGAAGTGGAACATGGCCCGACTCGCATGACATCCTTCGACCGAAGAGTAGGTGCTTTTCACCTGAACCCGAAACCCTCATCTTCCGCACGAACGGAGCGATCGGACGCGAACCGAGTCCGGAGCGATCGTTACCCTCTTCGGACGGGCGAAGCGTCGTTCCCTTATGAACCTAACCTGGGTCAATGGCTCAATGGCCACCACAGCTCTACAAAAGGGAGGCCAACTCAGATTCACCTCAAGGATTAGGGCATCTTCGGAAGCATCTCTTTGACTATCCAAAGAGTCAAAGAGTCCTTTGCCTTCCAACAACCCCTGGCTATCTAAATGAGCACCACCCGTGAACTGCCTGGTGGGGGGCGACCGATGAAGTCGACGGCGCTTTCGGCACCGTCCCAAGTTCAGCTTTGACACGCGTGCATAGACTGATGGCGATCAGGCGAAGCCAGAATTTCCCGAAGCGTTATTTTGGCTATACTAACAAGTGCATCGCCAAGGAGCAGCCAGGTGCCCATTGAAGAGGGAGCCAAGAAGCTAGAGGCCCCGACAGCTAGTTATAGGTTGACATGCATGGTAGTGGCATTGTTCAAGTATTGGCAGGGGCATCATGCAGGGAGACATTTCGCGTTTTGACCCATCTCCAAGTCACGCCTTAAAAAAGGCCGATCTACTTCGGGATCACTACAAGCAAGATATATCCGTGTTGAAACATCATAGAACTTCCGCAGAAAAAGAACTTTTCTGTACTTGGCAGTGCACACTTGCCCAACTCGATCGCTTTTCAGTTACTGTTTGTCAGGCCAGGACCGAAGGCATACAAGTGGCAGCAACACCATTTCCACAAGCCACAAGTTGCCAGCGCCTTCGGCATGCGCCAATGGACCAAGCTGGAGATGGGACCCACGCTGCGCGGAAGTCCGACACTCGAATTGGGTCGTTCACAGCTTTTCAGGCGATGAGGAAGAGTCCAAGACCACCTCATTTGCGCTAGCGACTGGGGCGAATAGTCTTTTTGAGATGCAGCGGCCCTGGCGGTGCCAGCGGCGCGGTGGCTTGAAGGGATCACCACAGCAGCATAGCCCACGTCTGAGACATGCTTCTTCTTCACGCGCGCGCGCGGCACGTTCTGCGTGGGCCGCGCTGCATCGGCTGCGACGGGGGCCCAGCCGAGAACGTGCTGGGCGCGACGACCTCGGACCTCGAAGCTCGTCCGGTGCCGAAGGAAAGTCGTGTCGGCCAGAAAGGAAGTCGGTTTTTGGAGAGGATTCTCAAAGAGGTCAGTTGGACTCCAAAGGACTTAGTGACTGGTCGGTCGGTGGGTGCTTTTTCAACATTTATATAAAGTCACTGCATGGTGACCCCTCAGTCTAGGTCCTAGGTGGGAAAAGTCGAGGTGTTTTTCTGGGTGCGCCAATGAGCCTTCCAAGTTCCGAACGTGCAGTATTTTGAGGTGTGTTTGGTGCCGATGCACATCCAACTCACGGACGGTGGTAGGGAACTCTAGCTGCATAAAGATGCTTCGGACGGTCGGGATCGATCTCTGTGTTTCACGCGGTGAGAACCAGCTGCGCGGTTCTCCAGATCGTGGTAGTGCTGTGCTGAATGAAGATCTGAGAATGTAGCTAGGAAGAATGAACTAAGCCACCGGAACCTGCCACTCTTCAGAGCTGCCCAATTTAAGTGGAAGGTAAAATCGGGACACTTCAAATAACCACCCTTCTCTGTACATGAGAAGAAGTGATCTTCCGCAAGTCTGTTTCCATCAGTGTTCCAGACAGGCTCGGGCTTCGCAATGCTTCGCACATGAGCTGTTTGCCGAAACCCCTGTTTCACTTCAAAATAGACACAAGATCGCACCTTTCCTTTTTCCCAGTCGCTGCTCAGCTGTCCGTGCTGCTTGAACAGAGTGTTGAATGTTGTGTGAGCATGGTTTACTCCCCCTCCAACAATCATGGAAGTGGACAATAACCCGAGGAAAACGATTTTCCTCTACTAAGAAGGGGTGCCATCCACTTCCATGTTTGTTGGAGAGAGGGTGCCATCCACTGTGGCGCACCCTCACGGAGAACCTGCGCTGTGGCGCTGTGTGGACCGCACACCGACGAACCGATACCTACAACACACTCCAGACGACATCAACACTCCAGACGCCACCAACGACGACCCGGTGTGGAAATCAGTCGGACCATTGGCTGAATCGGTGAAGGTACGGAGTAGGATTTCAGATATTGTCTATATATGGTTCTTTAATGTAAACATTGTGTAATTTTGGGGTTGTTTTGTGAAATTTAGGAGAACATCTTTCATTTCTTCAATCTTCAACATTTTGATGATATCACAGATGCTTTAATCTGATTTTGACATCAATCATGAATGCATTACATTAGACTAGAGGTGCTTCTTTGTGCAATTCGATCTCAAATCACCCAAGAGTTTTACGAAGGTCATTAGGCTCAACAAATAGGGGTTGCCCTCCCGTTCCGTACTGAGTACCAACCAGACTGCAAAGCTACACCTGAACGATCTGGGCGCGGCGACCGCCAATCTTGCTCGTCGGGGCAACAACAAACGTTGTGGCCTCACTCGAGGATTCGTTTCGCTCCCCGCTTTCCGCATTCGAAAAAGCTTGGCCGACCAGGTTGTCAGGAAGTTGAAGGTAGATGCATCCACGATGCATACGCTTGGTGTACATGGGAAAGATGGTGAACATCTCTTGCCTTCTACTTGGGCAACATCGTGCAAGATCGTCCAAGTGGACGTTTCTGATTTTTGTGGAGGGGACCCTGCTTCCGAACCCTCGCAACTTGCATTCACTGGGGGATTTGTTAGACCAATGTCCAAAACACTCGATGACGCGGTTCATTTAAACAAATCCAGTCACTGCTGAACTAGGTTCTTGCTATTCAAGAAACACCACCAACTTAAGCACATCCACACAGTTTCTTGGGAGCTGCTGAAGCAGAGCAGGGAACGCGTCGTGGTGAAAAACCTGGATCTTCTAACTCTAAATGTTTGCCTTTTGGTGAAAAACCTCGGATGAGAAGGCAGAGATTTTGCCAAGGAGCTGTGTTTGGATGGGATGGAAAACGAAGTTTGCGGCTGCCCTGAGAACCCCCAACAGAGATTTCAATGGGGAGACCAGCCCATTGGCTTCTCGCCTGCGAATACTGGGGGCCGCCAGGGTCCTTCAT